TTCAAAACAATGAACGGTGTCAGATGGAGGGATCGCAACAGTCTTGAGTGATGAGTCTTCGCAAGACCCAAACCTAAACAGTAATCACGGTGTCATGCACCTGTCAATCCATGTTATTTTACTGGGTGTTTATTATTAAATATTAGAGTGCCACAAAATCAGCTTTGCATGGGAATTTGTGGAAAGCTGAAGCAAATGCAATGAGAAAAGAACAGACTTAAAAAGAAGTTACATTTCAGTATTTCACTCTTCTCTGTGTGGGGGAATCGAGAAGGAAGGAAGAAGGCTTCAATCAAGCAAAACTGAGAATGGAGACGAATTAGTATTCCAGCATTCAGCTGCATGCTTACGTTGTTTTTTCTTATCGCTTTTTGCATCTCGTGAATTTTGGAACTCTACAATACGACATAGCGTAATCTCTTCATAACCGATAGCAGCTACACTTTTAAGAAAACAAAATATATTATGCCTTCGAGTATGGACCATACCGTTTCATATGTTAAAATTTTTCACCTAAACATATATTATTGTGGCTCATGGAATGATAGTATTAATGAATCTAACATCACCTAGGAGAATTTTTTTTTTTTTAATTAAAACTATACCTTTGACCATAGTTTTAGACCAAACTTTTTTTTGGTTAAAGACCATGCCCTTTATTTTCATTTATATATATATATATATATATAAAGAGAATATTCAAACATAACTTTTAAAACAGGTAAGGAAATAAATATACTAATTATTGACTAATTGTTAAGTATTCGGGTAGATAACATATAATAAGAGTATTTAGATATGATATGCATGTATGTAAGGATTTATTTATATGTGCTATTTAACTTATGATAGTATACATATACCAATGTTGGCTATTTGATTGTGAAAGGAAATTATGTATGTTTAGATTTTTTTTTCTTTGCATATGTATTGGCTTAGTTTCTTCTTTTATGTTCTTGAACTAATTAAACTTAATTACCCTATCATAATCTTTCATTAGATCATCAGTTACATAACACCAGCATAAAAACATAATCTTTTACATTATGTTCGGTAGGAAGGAAAGAAAACGAAAAGAAGGAAAAGAAAAAGTAAAGAAAAAAAAAGTTAAAGGAAAGTTATTTTTCTTTCAGTGTGTTTGATATGAGTGATGGAAAATAGAGGAAGAGAAAGAGATTAAGGGTAAAGTTATAAATAAAATTATTAATTTAAGTTGAATAATTTTTTTTCTCATGACACTTGCGATAAATGGATTTGAAGTGAAAATAAATGTACAAATTCACTCATTTTTCTTATCTTATCTTTTTTTTTCTACTAAACGAAAGAAAAAATAGAAAGAAAGTAGTATTTCTTTCTTTCTTTCTTTCCTTCCTATCAAATACTGTTTTAATGTGATAAAACTAAGCATAAACCAAGCAATATAATTCCATTTTTATTACAAATTAAAGCTTTTGTTCTAAATTTAATGATTGTTATATATCCCTCTAACTAAAAGTAAAGAGTAAAACTTTTTTCTTCCTCCAACTTTATCTCTATATAGAATACAATGTAAAATGTAGTACTACTTGAAAGAAACATTTTTTTTTTTCACAAATCAGATAAAGGAGAAGAAAAGAACAGTGATTTTCCTAGTGATTTTTAAGCAAAAGGACAGGCACAGGATAAAGGGGGGAATATATTGGTAGAGAATATAATGATATTTTGCACATGCGGCAATATCAATGGCTTGCATGTTGCAGTGGGGATTTGATTTTGAATCTGTACATTCATAGCTACAGCCTACGGGGCTTTCGATCACAGGCTGCCTGGCTGGTTGGCTATGAAAAAGCCAAATGAATCAGAAAAAAGGGTACTCCCTTTTTTTTTCTTGGTAGATTATTATTGTGAGTATGAATCATGTTGGTTTTAATTCTTTTTCTCCCTACTTGCTGATCAGGTCATTACTCATCAGCTGAAATTGTTTGGGTGGTTTCCTCTTTGATACTGAAGGAAGGTTGTAAAAATTAAGAGGTAAAGAATTGCACATTCAAACTAGCTAGACAAGTGGTCTCCTTCATTCAATGGAATATTAATGACATAATTGTTCAATTTTTTTTACCTTTTTGATAATTTACTATGTTAACTTTTTTTTCTTTAGATAATTAAAGATATGCATGACTTTGGTAAGTTAAATGGAAATTTGAAAATCCACCAGATTAATCTAATTGATAAGGAGAATAGCTAATTTTTATATCAACCATAGTTCGATTCTTGTAAATATCATTTTTGGAGTAAAATTATAAATATATCAAATTAGAGGAATTGTGTTAAAGTTTTGAAATACCAATGATCGTGTTATAAAAAAATTAAAAAAAAAAAGAATTGACAATTGAAAATAAATACTTAAAGTAGAACGAGTAGGGGAAGAAGAAATTAATACTACATAGTACATACTCATGTTATTAATGCAGAAGCACTATTTTAACCACCATGAAAAGAAAATTAACATTACCTGATATAAGCAACCTTGTTTCATTTTGAAGCATTCGATTCATTAATGTTCATCTCATTAAATGAGATATAAATATATGCGTGAAGACAATTACGTTCCTATCTTGTCATGGTCTCAACTCAACCTGTCTTGTCTGACAACAAGATTAAAAATGGCAAACAGGGTTATTTGAGTTATCAGACAAATACCAAGCTAGAGCCACAGCATTTATATTGAAGATATATAAATACACTCAACCGCTTTTTTAAGATGTAAACATAAAAAATCTAATGCATGCTTGAATTAATTGGCTAGCTTGAGAAGGGCAACTATAAGTTTGCAAAATATTCATGACTAGTTAATAAAATTATCCTCCCTTTATGGGTAAAAAAAGTAAATGAACAAACAGTCAGGATTATTTCTGCCCTGAAATTTGCTAGCAAAGCTCTAATTTCTTGCCTTCTAACCTAGCTCGTACCGGATGTTGCTTTTATACGAAGAAAATTTTCATCTACTAAGAGTCAATTCGGAAGTTCGATTGAAAAGCTCTCACTATAATGATAGATGCGTTTTATGGTTGAATTCTAAAATATAATTTAAAAGTTCAATCATTTATTAACATTTTTTTATTTGAGAAAAAGAAGATTTGAATTCTACATTTTTAAAACAGTAAATACATAAATTTATTAATTACTTGAATTTAATTCTTGTGTATATTTGGTGAGAAGTTAATTAATGATTTAATAAAAAATACGATTGGACCGATAAAATAAGAAGATAATGATTCTTTAAAGGAAAATCAAGATGTAAATAATTTGGACGGAGATATTAAACTTGGATGCTTTGAGAAATTCAACATGTTCTTCTACAATAGACCAAAATGATCATATTGGCTACTATATAAGATCTAAATTGTAACTATATAACATGCATGCTGCTGAGGGTTCAGTAGTTGATGATTGTAGACTCAGAGCTCCAGTAGAGAATTACAGGCAGCAAGCATATTGGTTGGCCAGGAGGAAAAACCGAAACAAGCAGAAATGGTGTAGTCCCATCGGCCATTACCAGGATTTCAGGATGGCCTTGGATTTCTTTTCAGAACATGTGCATGAACAGTGTCACCCCATGTCGATCTCTTCATATCAAAAGAGTGGTCCCATATTTTGTTTAATTGACTGTAAAAGTGACAATTGTTTCGAGATATTCATCGTTGATTTTTTGAGACTTGCAGCCCAAAAAGATAAGCGGTTTTATTTGATAAGCAAGCAAAACTAATAACGGATCAATTCCTTAAATTTTTTTGCTTCAGAATAAAGTAACTTAGTGAGTTATTTTGATGCAATTTTAGCATTAATGGCAAATGATAGGAAACCTTACCATTCTTATAAAATAATTATTTTAAACTAACTTCTGGTCTGATGATTAAAAAAGATTATCAGTGATTGAGAATGATAATAAATATGATTGGAAAAAAAATTAAGGAACGTGATAGATAAATTTTAACACGTGTTCCAACACTCGAGTTAAGAAATGTATAGAAAAATAAAATAAAAATGAATAAATAAAGAAAATTAGAAAAAAAAAAAAAGAATCAAGTAATAAATACGGTAGGTGTTTGGTTTAATCTCACCATTTATATCTTAAAAGTAATGATGCGGTTGATTGAATAATCATGTTAAAGTCATAGGGCAGTTGGAGTTGTTACTGACATGGCTACTAAGATATAACAAAATCAATGTTGATTTTTCTCACTGAGACTACCAATTCATTGATTCCCTCAACATACAGAACATTTTATGAATTCGTTGCAATTATGTATGGGAAATTTTCTTTCTTAACGTAACTTCCATCTGCTTCGTGCTTAAGAAAGGCAGTTGTGGTTTTTCTATTCAGACATATTATGATTATTTTTTTTACTTGTATTTATGATTTTATAAAGAAAATACGCTGAATTACAAGAGTTTTTATTCAACTTTTTCGGTGAGTTACCCCCATATTATTATTAAGCTGTGATCATTAACATCTTTCAATGCTTCTTTTTCTGTTATCATGGAATAAAATGGCAACTAGGTAGCATGATTAATTAAGCCACACATGCTGTACTTAAAATCATGGCATTGTGGCTAATCCTACCTGGCATCGTAACTAGTAAGGGCAAATGAAATGAAGTAAACCCGAAATATATATTTTTTAATTTTTAATTATCTTTAAATCTTTTTATTTTATTACTTAGTTAAAAAAAATACATATATAAATTCTTTTAAACTTGTAATTTTTAAATACCAATTCTAATAACATATTAATTGATTCAAAAAATCTTCGATAAATATTTTGTTACCTACTTTTACCTTCTAACCTGCGCATATACATATAATTACGTCATAACATAACCTCCCATTTTTGAAGCTTTTTCCTATGCGCTGTGAGAGTTTTTTTTTTTTTAAATATATTTAAAAAAATCATAATTTGAGAAAAAAAATTTTAAATGAATTTTCGAATTCATGGTAACATGCGCTGGAGTGCCTAAATAATCAGCAAGAATTCATGGAAGCAAATTTCTCTTTAAGGAATTGCCTGAAAAAGGCAGCTTTGCTCAAACTTTTTAACTTTCAGCACATCGTAGACCTGAAATTCCCATTAAAAAAATTTCAGCAAATGGGATAACGTTTTTGCATATAGGACCCTAGAACTAGTTTCTTTCTGATATGTCATTCTGAAGGTATACATATCCAACATGACAGACGATATGTGAAGAACATGAGATTTTCTATTTTTAAGATACCTGACTGAACAAAAAAGTGCATTATGGTCTCATTTCTCAATCTTTCTTATTATTATCACTATATCACTACAGAACTGTTATGACTACATGTTTTACAATGATGAGAATGGATGGAATCACATCCAATATTAAGATATCTACTCCTGTCACATATTAAGGCTTGTTAGCAAGACTTAAGGTTAGGCCAAAAAATAACAGCTGTTCCAGACATTCCTTTTCCAATAAATAATGCCATCCAACACTTACCATCTGCTGAATGATTTTCTGTTTTTGTTCTGCAGCTGAGTTTTCGACTTTCCCTCATCCATTTAAATATCCACAGCAGCTGTTTGAAGCCAAGGACATTTAACTAAGTTACGAGCTTACCAAGTCCATTTTGTTAGTTTTCCTCAATCATAATTTGCTGAAACCCGCATCAGCTGTTGGATAACTTTCCATTAAAGTTATATTGAACCAACAAGGAAATGTCTTCAGGAGATAACATTAGTGCACCAGTGCTCAAGTAATGCCGAGCACCTCTTGCCCTGTGATAAAAACAATTTGTAATTAAACAGAACTGCTGCAAGGGATGTGTGGTCATGTGCAACGAAGTACTAACATTTGCTAAGCAAGTAATTTGAGATAAAAATTTGCCTACCTCTGTCTTTTTGTCAATCCCAAGCCTACCGATAAGCGGGATGCTTCTGATCTTGAAATACATCCCAATGAAGAAATATATTCATGAAATGCAGCACCCTTCAGTGCCAAATATAATCTTGAAGGGACTATGGCCCTAATGATGTTGAAAAGACATGACTTCACATCCCTGTATTGCAAACGCCAAAACTAATTTAGGTGAGTAAAAGGGCAGAGCCAATAATGAAATTCTAAACTGAACAAGTCAATAGCAAGAAGACAGGCTATGTAATTACATGAGTAAACCAAAATCTGTTTCAGACAAAGCACATTAGACAAATGCTTAAATCCTACATCTACAAAGGTTCCAATTATCCAAGGAAACACTTCGTTCCATCCTAGCAAAACAGAAATTGTAAAAGAACAATAATAAACATGAAATTTGATCTGTCATCTGCCAATGTCAAAATGCCTCAACTCATTTACAAGTAATAAATCCAAGTGTGGCTTCAAGTGAAATAATAACTCCATACCTTTTCACTGCTAGCTCACGTTTTGATGGGCTCAAGTCCAAAACCTTTCCATCAATTGAAGTCTTGTTTGCTCTAGCATCATTTCCAAGCAATCCACCGATTGCCATTATACTAGTTGAGGAAGCCAGTATCTCCTGCCTCAAATCCACCTTATGCTCAAAACCCATGTTTGATCCTATAACATCAATTTCTTTAGCATACAAGCAAAATCCATGTTGTGAAACTGTGTTAGCCATCTGCAACTGCTCATCACACCAGCTGAAAGCATCAGAATTCTCAGAAGGAATCATTAACAGCTCCAAAGAATCCTGCATATATGGCTAATTAGTACCAAAGGAAACAGGCAATAAGAAATGGTCTCTGAAAAAAATAAGACTATTCATCACTTACTTGCATCTGGCATTTGGAACGTAATTGGTCAGCTTGCGAAATTAGATCACTCATACTAGAAGTGAGTTTTAAAATTTTAAGTGCATCTTTTGGCTCTGAGTCAACATACTGTTTTAGATCAGCATGATTGTCACGAAGTTTTTTCCATGATTTCTGTACTACATCATTTACAACCTGGTTCTTAAATTTCTCCATGGAAAAGAATCTTTTGTTGAAAGTCACGCAGTTGCAATCATCCATCACTGCATGCCCAGTTGATACACCCTCATCGTACTCATTTTGAGAATTCTCCAGCACTTCTTCACGAGATGCTTCTGCAGTCATACTGCATTTGCCACCTAACATATCTGAAGTACTAACTAATTTATATATAAATTTACCAGTGTCATTCGCATCAACTGGCAACAAATCCTCTGTGAACTCGGAACTCACTGAAACTTCCGTTGTTTCAGCAACATTAACATATGACAAAGTTCTAGAAGGCAGCTCCATTCCATTAACAATTTCAGTTTCAGGAACAATGGATGACTCAGGAACATATGATACATCCACAGATTTGCAAGCGTCCATTTGTAAATTATTTGCTGTTTTTGAGCATTGGAAACCCCTATCCTCACAATTCTCCACTTCAGAACAAAGTAGCTCGTCTGTTAATGGCCTTAAGCAATTTTGCATGTTTGGACAATGACAGTGAAGTCTGCAATCTTCTTTGATGAATAATTCACGGTTGACATTCTTGTTTGAAACTAAACAAGGTTGCTTATTAAAGTCCTCATCTTCGGAACCAGAAGACATTACAACATCAAGTTTCCTCCTACGTGTTCTTCGAGAGAAAGAAACTGGGGTGCCCGAAGAATTGTAAAAGTCATGGGCAGTATAAGAAGGGTTTATGAATTCATTACAATCATGAATAGAGGTATTCCTGCCTAACATCACTTCTTTTGCATCTATTCTGTCTATCTCGTTATTATGCATCTCCAACCCATTTGACATGTTATTTTCAAGTTCTTCCTCCATCACCTCCATTGAAGTTGAATTTTCTTCCATCATGGACAATGTCTTAGCAATTTCCTTCTCAACTAACTCTGATAACTGAGATGGGAAATCCCAAGGGACTATAGTTGGTAGTATTGAATGACCCACCTCTATATCAAACAGCAGCAAGTCATAAGTCTTCCACAATTTCCCATCTGGATAGCCAAGGGGTGTTAAAACAAAGTGCAAATATATAATACAAAGAATATTTCTTTGCAAGAGATACTAAACTGGCAATGAGTTCAAGAACAAATATTAAACATGGAAATCACACCCTTGAAAAAAGACCTGTTATGATTTTCTCAAGCACAAAACAAGTATCTGAAATTGGACCAGGTATAAAAAATAATCCAATTGGTTCCAGAAAGCAGTAGATGTCACATAATAACTTCCAAAAAGTCAAACAAAATGATAACAGAAATCCTTTTACAAAAAGTATGAAATATCAAAACCTTCAACACGATGCAGCTCTTTTGCTCAAGGAAGTAAAAATAAACCATAAGTCCATAACCACAAAGGCTGATCAGAAGTTTTCTAGTGAATTTATCTATTAAAAGTATTGACATCAACACTTGAATTAAATCTCGTATATGCATCACCATACACCAAAAAAACTGTTAAATAGGGTTTATATTTGCTCCTGTATCAGGGACCTATTGAGATCACCCAAATTAAAGTGAATATGTAATTTATAGATGGTCAATACTTACTTCAAATGATACTTGGCTTTATGCACAAGCACATACATGTCAGGTGAATTTATTTTAAAACTCATTCCTTATATTTCCTCACATAGTGATTTATTAAGATTTGCAAAAATCTTGGCAGATTAAACAATCTCAAGAAACTTACTGAAGCTCTTTCATTTAGTTTTCTAACATTTTTCATAGTCTCTGCTAAAAGCATAGTACCCCAACTCATAATAGGGGAAACCAGTTTACTGAATTTCTATTATAACATGTAAATTTCAAAAAGAACAATAGATGTACTATGCAAACATGTATAGCTGTGTTATGTTATTAACCTTTTTGATTTATTTTGCTCTGGCACCAAAACTGGAGATGCATAATGGTTTTCCGAATGTCACCCTGACAACATTTAGTTAATTGCTCTAGTAAATGTGGTTGAATGGCGGCTTTCTCCGCTGCACAAACCTGTGGCATAAAACTAAGATAAATATGAAAAGGTAAAGATTTTTGTAATGTGAAAGAGTTCAAAAGAAGGCACTGAAGCTTATACCATAGAGAGATGGTGAAGCAGCTCTTCTTGTGACGGCATCGTGAAACATAACTCTAGCCTGTCCAAGTTGTCTGGCAGAACAAGATTGTTACCTGAAATTACCACCACAACATGGTGTTACGAGGAAATACATCAAGTAAAAGTTATAAAGTGTCAAGAAAAAAATATAATGTTTCAATCATAAAGCCAACTTACTATTACTAGTCAGTATCACGGGTCCTTTTGCTTTTTCAGCAATTTGCTGTATAGCAGCAACAAAACCACGATCTTCAGGAAAACTGATATCCACATCCTCAAAGAGAACCAAAGGCTTAACTTTAGTTTGACCAAAGCCAGTCTCACTATCACTACAGACATGTTTTCCAGATGCTCCATGCGCAAAAAATGAATCTTCCTTATCTGATATTGATATCAACTCTATCACCTCATTATCAAATTCTTGCACTGCTTCACTGCTAGATAAAGGTCCTGCAGATTTCATCACATGCTTGCTAAGTGAAACTATAGGATTTTCTAGTGACCTGAAACAAGTATACTTTACAATTTAGGACATAATTACATTAGTAAAGCTTGAATTTGCTAGATGCTTCAATGGACAATAGAATGATCACATAAATAGTGTAAGAATGATAATGAAGACAGAGTCACCAACCCTGTAAGGCAGTGTGATTCTAACGCCTCTCCGAGCTTTTGCTTCACAACAGCTCCATTTCGACAGTCTGATGCATTGGACTAACAAAATAATAGATTAGAAGGATGCAACTTTCACTTAAAGGATTATTCTCTTAGCATTGAATTACAAACACTAAAATTCATTGAAATAACAAACACTAAAATTCATTGAAATAAAATTAACTCAATTGACTGCATGAAAGGATGCCTTGTAATCAAAGACAAATTTGACCAAGCTATATGGAATTGCAAGAACAATAGCTGTATCTTATTTCTATTTTTAGGAGTGTACCAAGTAGAATTAAATTAATAAGTTTTTTAAGAAAGGGGAAAGTAGGCTAAAACATTTGGGACTTTTGAAATATGAATTGACCTTTTTAACGAGAAAAAATGATACAAAGGAAAGAGAAAACATGAAGAAACCTTCACAGTTTTCCAACTTACAGAAAATCTCCCTTTTAAGTTCCAAGCAGTTACATCTTAAAGAAGTGGCATAAACACAAGCCTTAGAGCAAGTGGGTAACAAAAGCACCATAGATTTACTTGCAGCATGAATTTGAAGGTACAGGACAAGTGAACCGATTTATCAATCTTGCAACTTTATTATTTTAGTTGAAATCTTCCAGAACATCCAATGCGTGAATAAGTCCAAAGTCAGACTCATCTAAGTTTCCAATGATATAGAAATAAAGGAGAGATGAATCTTTGTCTTTCAGTTGCAAGACATGTCTAAGAACTATAAGCATTTAGAATTGCAAACTTAAGAACTCAACATAGAGCCTTAGCTTCATAACAAACTGAGAGTCCATTTAATTCACATACACAGTTTCTAATATTATGCCAAAAAAGCCTAGTGGTTATAGGCATTTTCATGCAAGGATAAGTATCATTTGCACATGGCCACAACTAATGCTGGACAAAAAAATTGTAAAATGGTTTGACAAGAATCTAAAAGTTTAGTAGCAACCTCCAAAACTTTAAATCCTTGTTCCTTTGCACAAGCATGGATAGCTGCAGATTTCCCACTCTGCAGCACGAAGAAATATACCTTTAACTACCAAGAAAAAGCAAAAGCATATGTACCAAACATAATTTGAAACAAAATACGGAATGCTATCCAACAAAGCAATCCTTCAAGAAAAAGAATGGAAATGGAGTTCCAATTTAACATAAGCAACAGTGTTCTCTTAAACCTTGTACAATCTCAAGACCGAAACCTTTGCAGGTGTAACTACATTTACTGTTGTGAGTAAATCAACTTAATGTCAAGTTCCTAGTTCCATTTTCAGGAAAAGAAAAATCTTAAATCAACCCAAGACATAAGAAACCAGTAAACCTTGTAGCCAAGAAACACACCACTAAGGGCTAGCAGTGCATAGAACAAAGAATTCAACCAATACCAAAGGAAATATCAACCGCAAAATGTAGTGAGACATGATAAAGAGATAATAATTCATTCAAAGCCAAGCATTACAAAAAACATACAAAGACAAAGGTTAACTCTAAAACAAGCAAACAAGTACTAAACTTCAGTGAAAACTTTTATGTATACCCCAATTGGTCCGGTAACTAAGAGAACATTCTTCAGACTATCCTCTCCATCTATGTTTTCTGAATCAAAATCACTTTCACAAAAATTGTCATCATCTTCCTGCATGTTGCTTTTATTAACGTTATTAGAGGCTTTGATGGCTTGAAAACTTCTCTCACGCCAAAGCCGCAACCATTCATTCATAAACTTCACTGATACAGTATTACCACACACCTGAAAAGCAGTATTAAAGGAGAAAAAAAATGTATGAAATATAATATTACCTCCCCCTTCCTTTTAGGATATAGAAGTTCAGAACAAACAAGCTAATAAAATCTCACCTCTTTGGCACTTTTTGGCTGATACTTATCAGTCCATAAGCTATTATCATGCCGGATACTGCAACCAGGATAACATGGCACAAATCTGCAAATTAATATAATGAAAAGGATCTTGCTTGGCAGAATAGCAGACTTACATACACAAAGGCTATCCTAACTAGCAAGTAGCAACTTTTTATTGGATACACTAGATTATTATTAGTATGGCCAAAAGTTGCAGAAGTTTGCACCATTGACCTTGACCATAAAACCAAGGCTTTAACAAGTTAGTGGATATCAACCGGGCCAGTTCCATTTGGTTAGCAAGTACCAACAGTATCAAGGCGCAAATCCTATTTCTAACACAACTATCTCTATTCAGCATATTTTGAATTGAATAGCTTCAGAAACTATAGTAGCATAGAAGATTCTCATACTGCCAGATATTGTGCAACAAATATGAAAATGATCATTTTAATGCATACAAAGTATTTGTAATAACAAACATATTAAAATAATCCTAAATTAACATATCAGAAAGGACGCTTAAGAAATGGGCAGATAGGTTTTAATATGCAAAATTCCAACCTTTCTTGAAGAAGCCGACTTTGCTGTTCAAGCTCTGAATTTCCCACATTATCAGCCTGCATAGAAAGGACAGCAACTTCATCTACTTGGCTGTCCTGGCAATAACCAAATTATAGCAACAAACAAATCGAAGAACATTCAAAGTTAATAAAAAGCTAATGAGCCTTTGGCACATGGGCAACTAGTACATATTTAAAAGTATGGGTAAAGGAGGTATATGTTAGATTCGACTTGAAGAAATTGCCTAACTTAAATGGGGTTTAGGAATTTGTGGGGGTTGGTTGTCTAGAATTTTGATTGTTAAGGGGGAAAAAGAGTTAAATAACTAGAAAAAAATAATGGTAATAGGAACTCCCTTGAAAATAAATTAAAGAAAAGAAAGGTAACGAGGATAAAATTATACGACATACCCCTTCTGAGCCCTTTAACAGCAGATAGCTTTCCAATTGCTCATGTACTGGCGAAGCATTTATTGCTAATGATGTTCCAAGTAAGTCATTATCTTGAATAATACATTCATCTGACAACTTGTTTTCAACAACTAATGCATCAGAGAAATGTGAAACACCAGGCAAGTTGTCAAGACATAATGCCCCAACATAACTTTCAAAAACTGATGTGAATAGGCCTTCAAAATTGTAACCAATGTCAATGGCAGTTTTCTCAAAAAAAGTCCAATCTTTCCAATCAAGAACAACATCATCCTGCATGACAAAGTTTGATTGTCATTTCAGATAAGAAAGAACATTTAAAGAAGTTTAAATTCAAATCAAGAACATACAATAAATTTAGACATGGTTGAGTCATAATGCCATACCTGAATTCTTTCAAATACATGAATAGGACCAACATTAACGCCTGTGTTACATCTGTCTAGCAAGCAACCATTTTTCCCTACTTCAGCAGTCTCCTGGCTCCTCTTTCCCGCTTTTCGTGATGCAAAAAATGGATGAATTTGCCTTCTTGCAAACATCCGTGAATTTTCCTAATCAAGCATAAAATAAACACACTTTCAGTTACAACTTACATGTCAAATATTGTATTAAATGTTAGTTACATTAACATATCATGAACTTAGATACTGTTTGCTAGTAGTTCGAGCCAATGCATGGACAGCCAAATATTCAGACACCATATTGCAGCACTCATCACAAGGAAAACGTCCAGGGAGGGAGGGGAATTGGGGCAGATGAATTTCTGCACCAAAAAAAGGAACAATAACAGCTTCATATGTTGCAAGGAAAACCCTAGCAATCTCTCCACATTAAAAGTGATCCAGAAAATTGGTAGAGAAATAAGCTCCTGAGTGGGCTGAAAAAGTGATGGTTGCTTATCATTTTGCCTAGGCTCATAAGTAGGCACATCCTGCAGGGCATTATTTAAGCTCCAAGAGCTTCATAATAAGCTATGCCACGTCATCAATGGCCTCCAACCAAACAGCACAAACTAACATCACTTATTAATACCCTAGCGTCTTCCTTTCAGTAAATCAGAATCACCAAACACCAGTCACTATGTTTGATTATTTTCTCTCTACTTAATCCTAATTTTTACCTTCATCATCATCACCCATCACGTAAGCCCTAGGTTTCTTAAAAAAAAAAAAAGAAAAACTAAAACACAAAGCTAATATTCCACGGCAGACCTTTTTTCTTTTAATTTCTTGGAACTATTCTTATCTTACTGCATTACAGCAAAATCTTTCAGCATTAGAACATGATATTTGCTCTTCAACATCTAAAACAACGTTCTCAATCAACACTAACCATGAAATAAAGGAACAAGAATTAGCCAACAAACTGCTAATGCAAGCGATCCACAGTACAATGGTAAACCAAAAGCATACTAAAAGTTCCAATGACATATATGAGAGATCAAAATAATGTTTTAATGCTGCGAAAGCACAATCACTAACCTCAGCTGTCAATTTTGCCTCCAATCTCAAATTAGGAATTGGTGGCGGTGATGCATCTTCACTCTCCATCAAATTATTCATCCCATTCTTCTTCAGTGTAGTTTCCATTGGCGATTTCTCCGTTGACTGCTTATGGAAAATCACATTCAAAATTTTAAAAACAAAAAAACTACCAAACAGCTCTTCCCTTTTATTAATCGGTTAAATTAACTAAAAATTAACTCAACTAAACCTTTTTAGAAGCTCGATTCTGAGAAGTTACTTTCCCTTTCCGTTTTCTTCCCTTCTTCTTGCCTTGGCTACCACAGAACTCTTCATCTTCGCCGTCGTTATTGTCATCCTCACCTTCGTGAGCCTTCTGGTCAACCTTCGGTTCAATTTCTGGTGATTTGCGTGGGAACAAGGTTGACTGGACCAATCTCCGGCGGACGCTCCTCCGTTCCCGCTGGTCGGTGCCGTTGACCATCATTACTTCCGGCTCTCTCTTCTCAGCTGATTCTTCCATGGTATTAAGGTTTATCCAATCTTAATTTAGGAATTTAGGGTTTTGAGTGACGACATTTGGGCTTTGTTTTTTTTTCGTTTGGATTTTCCAACTTGATCTAGGAGAGAGGGAGAAAGCTGGAGAGAACGAGGATTTTCTTCCCGCGCGCGTTGTGAGGTAAAAGAAAAATTACTCACAATGCGTGGTGAGTATATCATTACCGAAACCTAATTTCTTATTTGCTTGTACCCTGCTTTTAATCATATCATTGCACTAATCAAATCTTTGCAACTGAATTAGACTTCGTTAGCATTGGTTTTGCGGTTGAAAAAATTTTAGTTTGAAAAAAAAAAAAAATTTTAAAAATATTATAAAAATTTAGTGTGAAAAATTTATGATTTAAAATTTTTTGAATATTTGTTATTGCTTTGAAAAATTACTGTAAATTTAAAATATAAAAAAAAAACACTTTATGTTGAAAAAAAAGTTATTTTTATCAAAGGTTGTTATCATAAATAATTCTTGAATTATAATAAATATTTAATATGATATTTAAATTTTAAAATTTTTAATATGATACATAAATTATAATTTTATTAATTAATATAATAATTAAAAAATTATTTATTCATCATATATCATCATTTGAAATTAATTAAGTCAGAGATGAATATTATATCAATTAATAAATTTAAAATTTAAATATTAAATTATAAAATTTAAATACTTTATTAAATATTTAATATAATTTAAAATCATTTAAGACATCCACCTTTTATTAAAAATAAATAATTAAATGGGTATTTGATCATTTTGTATCAAACTCATAAATTTTAAATCAAAATTACATTTTCTAATTAATTTTTACGGTATTTTTAGTTGTCAAAAAATACTTTTTATATAAAACATAATGTATTTAGTATTGCTTTTACGTTTAAAAATTACGTTTTAAAATAAAAATGCAATGCAATGCCAAACACGAAACGTTAATCCTTCAACCGTTGGCTTTTAGTACAAAAGCAGTATTTGGAGCAAATTTGTGCCAATCGACATTGAGCATCCATTTGGATGCTATCACGTGGCACGATTTGTGGTGGTGGGACACTGGCCAATTTTGGTCTGCTACGGACAAAGGATCGAGACGAATTTTTATTTATTTTTAATTTGATCTAATTTTATATTTATTAAATTTAAATTTTTATGATATAAAATTTTTTTATTTTTTATATTTGTATCCAATTAGATTTGAAATTAATAAAATATTATTTTTTAAAATATAAAATATTTAAATATATAGTTATATATAAATAAATAAATAATTAATTAAAAATTATTTTTATATAATATTAAATAGAATCGAGTAAAATTTATCTAAAAATTAAATTCGATTTAATCTTGATTTTTTTTTAATTTTATTCGATTTTACCTTAAACTTGATTTAAAAAAAAATAAATTATATGAGATAAGTTATAATCGAAACCTGACGAAAAATAAATTGAGTTGCATACCTTAATTAGTCTATTGGTCATTCTTTTTATATATATTTTTACCCCTCAACTTATATTATAAATGCAAAATATTTTTATAATTTAAATTTTATAATTTGATTTTTTATTTAAAAATATGAAATAGTTTAGTTAATTTAATCTAATAAAAATATTGGTTAATATATTATTATTTTAATTATTTGTAATTATTTATTAAAAAATCATTATTTGATATTAAAATAATTTATTAATTTTATAAATATTAAATAATTTAACATTTTATTATATATAATTTTTATTGAATGTTTTTAACGGTCAATTTTTTTATATTATAATTCATCTCATTATAAATATTATTTTAATATCTAAATATATATTTTATTATTAATTTTAATCTTATTATTATAATTAATTTTATCAAAATTAATCTTATTATTTGCCTATTGATGTATCGGATTGATATGAAAGACTTACCGTACTATTTTATGTTTTTTATCTGGTTCCAGTTTCCCACCAAAAAAAAGATATGAAAGGCTTAGTTTTCACGGACTTGTCACGTGACATCTCAACTATGAGAAGTGTCAACACGCGCCAAAAATGAAGCGTGGGGTAGGAGGGAATCAGGAATGCCAGTATGTTATGTCCGAAGCCGCAACATTGAAGAAAAGAAAAGACCACAAATTCGTTACCTTTCCTCCACGCCTGAAAAGATAGCCGATATAGTTGTAAGTGGGGCACGACGGGCAACTTTAATGCTGCGAAATCTAGAAAGGGTATAACTGAATTTACTAAAACGTCCCTCAAATCCTAATAACTCAATTAACTTTCTTAGCTTGAGAAATAAAAAAGGCGGGAACAAATTAGTCTTAATGGAAAAAGTAAATAATGCTCGAAGACTCTAAATCGAGAATCTGACTCGTGTCTGTTCACTCTATGAAACACAGATGTGACCTTCCTCACCGCCACTACTTTGAAACCTCTGCCTTTGTCTTGTTTGTCTTGTTATTTGCTGCAGACCTTTTTGCAGAAAAGAAGGAAGCCCAAAACTCTAAAATCACTGAATCTTACCCAGCTTGAAAGTAGTCATTTTTCTACATTGTACTAACTCTTTCTCTTTCATAATAGTTCATTTTTGGTCGATAGGGGAGGACAAAAGCCACCTGAACAAACCCTTGAAACCCTCTAGTACATTACATTTGATCATTAGATTGAACCAAAAGACGCAAAGAAGGAAAAACCCATCCTTTATTGGTTTCAAATCTTGGCTCCTTTTTTAGCTCCTTCTTTGTTAAACCCTGAACCTTTACTAAAGAAATAACGCATCTTTGAGTAGCAAAGCAAAGCAAAGCTAAGCTAAGCTCTTTTGTTTGTATTCTTCAGCCACTCTGTTTTTATCCTGTTTTTAACTGAAGAGGAACAAGCAAAAAAGCCCTCGACCTGCTCAAACCCCAGAACCTAACAATGCCAAACCGAAAACCCACTTTTTTCTCCTTCTGCAAAGCCATTTGCTTCATGGTTTTCTCCAATGTGGCTTTGGTAACTTCCAAATCAACAATCGAGCCCTGTTCAAACTCTGATTCCTGCAACGCCTTGCTGGGATACACTCTCTACACCGACCTGAAAGTCGCTGAGGTTGCTTCCCTCTTCCAGGTTGACCCCATTTCGATCCTCACTGCCAACGCCATCGATATCTCTTACCCCGATGTCGAAAACCACATCCTTCCTTCCCAACTCTTCCTCAAGATCCCCATCATCTGTTCATGTGTTGATGGGATTCGAAAATCCGTTTCAACTCACTATAAAACCCGCCCTCAGGACACTCTCTCCTCCATTTCGGATTCGGTTTATGCTGGTTTGGTGTCACCTGATCAGATTAGGGAGGCTAACTCAATTGCTGATCCTTCTGTTCTTGATGTGGGGGAGAACCTTGTCGTTCCTTTGCCGTGTACTTGTTTTAATGGGACCGATAATGAACTGCCGGCCATTTATCTATCGTATGTGGTGAAGCCAGTGGATACTTTAGCCGGAATTGCAGCGAGTTATTCGACTACGATCACAGATTTGATGAATGTTAATGCTATGGGGAGTACTTCTATTAAGGCTGGTGATATTCTAGCTGTTCCTTTATCAGGTAGTTTTTCATTTCCTTGTTTTGGTAGAATGTGCGGTTGACATTAAAACTTGAAATTTGTATTGCTTTAATCATCAATCATCTAAAGCCATTATGCCAATGCCAGTATCATGTGTGTTTCTTCTGTAAAGTTGAGTTTTCATCTTGCTTATGTAGTAGGATTATGCTTTATATAATCACTGCAAATGGTATTGCTAATTTGCTATAACCTTTTGTAGTGTTAGTTGAATTTTTGTCCTTTTAATAGTTTTTGCCTTGAGAGTTCAAGCTAATGCAATAATTGTGAATTTTTACACACAGTTTTTATGCTTTTGCTTTGTTATGTCTGTTTCCTAAGGGCAATTGAGGATAAGTGTTATTTTCTTTTGGTTCCTGCAGCTTGTGCTTCGAATTTTCCTAACTATGCCTCAGATCATGGATTGATCGTGCCTAATGGGAGCTATGCTATTACTGCTAGCCACTGTGTTCAGTGCAGCTGTGGGCAGGGGAGTAGCAAGTAATTGAGCTGTTTCTTAGCATATTGGTTTATTCGTTGTTAATTAATAGTCTTTACTGCATGGGATTCACTCCCCTAAATCTAACAGTCTGGAGTTAATCACCTTTTCTGATTGTGTTGAACAGTTTGTACTGCATGCCTGCTTCTTTAGCTGTTTCTTGTTCAAGCATGCAATGTAAAAGCAGCAATCTGATGCTAGGGAACGTTACAGTGCAGCAAAGTAGTGCTGGATGCAAAGTTACTTCTTGTGCTTATGGTGGTTATGCAAATGGCACTATTATCACTTGGTATGCTACATTTTTTACCTACTTTTATTGATGGTTATGTGAAAAGTGATCTCTGTGTTTGAGTTTTATCCAATGACTGAACCCTTTCGACCCCTTTCTTTGTTCTGCAGGTTGTCATCATCTCTTCGACCTCGATGTCCAGGTAAGAGTTTATAAAACACAGTTCTCATAGGTTGTGATTCCAAAATGCATGAAGACAAGAAATTGTTTAATTTTAGGGCTATTTGGACTTCCATAATCCAATGCAATGTGAATGTGTTAATTTCCTTTTCGCATTGATACAGATGAAAATCAAATTTGGTAATTGCTAATTAAATGGAGTGAAATGAGATAATTCTTATCTGATACTTCTTGTTGTAGCATCTACCAATACAAATAATGTTTGCTTATTCATAAACATACTGAATTCATTTGTTACCTTCAATAATGCATAATTGTTAGACAATTCTGGTGCTTCTTTTTTAAAAGAAATGAAAGTTTCAGTTTCCGTGACAAGATTTATGACTTCAAATGTTGAGGAGTTGAACATGAGCGATTTACTTTCTAGAATTCACAAATATTTCCAGATGGTCATAGAAGGCTTCTTGACCTATTTAAAGTTGCATTGCATTTCAAAAAAATAATGCAGGACCACAGCAATTTCCTCCCCTTGTAGCCCCACCTACTGATGTAACTAAGGATTCAGTTTTTGCCCCAGCACCTGCGCCTCAGTCAGATGGTGCCACAACAAAAGTGCCCAAGACTTCTACGGTGCCCAAGATTTCTACAGCGCCATCTACTGGGTCAATTTCTGTGCTTCCCCCAGCAGCTGCACCTATTGGAAGTTTCTCTGATGCTTCCATATTGATGAATTCAGTGGCTGCTCTTCCGACTGCTCTTATGATATACTTTCTTATCAAATTAATCTCGCCCTTCTGATTGTAATTTGCTTGTGAGTTTTGGTGGGGTTTTGTTTTCTAAGGTTGCTTTGTTTTTTACCTGTCCCACTTGTCTGTTGTATGTAACTTTATTCATGACTGCATTACGTAATTGCCGCGAGTTTTCAAGTTGCATTAGTAATTTAATTTACTTGATTACTTATCATTCAGTGCAATTCATCGGCAGTTGCCTTTCTAATTTCTATTCATTAAATTTTGAGCTATATGAAATTTCTTGGATTACTTCATTGTCTTTACAGGACTACTAAGACCTCATTAACCTGGTTTAGGGGTCGACATTTCTTGGCTGTGTTATATCTACTTGTGGGCGGGGAATAACATTTCAATAACTAGTTTGAACATCTCAAGTCTGATCCAGTGTTGTCGTCTTTGTAATTATAGCATAACGTTATGATCATGAGTGTCTACCAACCAAACATCTTGATCCCCAAACCACCTTTTATCTTTCATTGTAAAAGTGAATATGAATTATAGTTGTTAATTTCATTTCAATATCAATCATATTAGACAGTTCAAATTATATTAAAACATTGTACATCTAAAGATAATTTTTTATACATGATTTAATACAAATCGTCTTTGTTAATTTCGGTAAATTTCAATGAATTAATTTATTTTGACCGTAAATGTTAAATATGTTTTATAATTTATAATTTATTTTTTATTATTTGACTATTTTTAATCTAATAAAAATAGAATTAATTGGCATAATACCGTCTAAAAGTTAAGCTTATCTATTTTTTAATTGTAAATTATTTTCTTTTATACTTTTTTTTTCAAATAAAAATTTATAAGTATTTTTATTTTATTTTATAAGAAAACAATTATACTTCATTTTTAAAGTTTAACAATCATAAAATCAAAATTAATTTTTTTATTTCTTTATTTTTATCTTAATATTTGCATAAAAAAACTTATTTAAATATTATATAATCAAATTGAGTGTTTAAAAATATCATGATAATTTTACGATATTATTTCTTATACTTTTAAACTTATTTTTTTGATTTTTAAAAATATTACACATTTACTTTGTAAATTTTTAATAAGATTATAATGTATAAGTTCATATATATTTATAAATATATTTATACTAAATAAAAAAATCCAGAATAATATACTAAAACAATTGGTATCGACATAATCATATTTAGAAAAAAAAAAAAAACCAAAATGTTGTCTACTATTATATTAACAACCTTGATATGAAGAGTAAGCAGGGGGTGAATCAATACAATTATCCATTAAAGGAGTAGTACCAATGCAAACGTATTTACAGTATTTACATTTCACCCCAACAATGACTTAATAAAACAAGCAAGAATCCCCAAGCATTAATACAGTTAAGAGAGATTTTCTCTCAATCATGATCAATAAATTTATAGCGCCCTCATCACAACATTGCTGGTTGTGTGGATACCCATTGCAGCAAGTTTCAGTATAGTACGGGTCCTATATAACCTGTTCATGTCAAGGAGAAATTGATATGATAATTCATTATAATTAAAGATAGCATAGGAACACGGCTAAAATATAGCACATGGTGCTCCAAATCTAAAAGCACCTGAGAAAATCTCAGGTACCAAAATCTCCACAAGACTATGTACAACTTTGGAGTACAAAGAATTAAAATTTCCAATCTTTAGATGTTTTGGTCCCGAATGCAAACATAGGGTTCTATAGTATAGTACAATAGGTTATAACTTTGTTAAAATTTCCGAAAGATTCTATAGGACCTTAAGAAGTTTACATATTCAGATGTATAAAAGGTATAATTGTTTCAATTAATAACAATCCATCTTATGATTAGAGGATGTTGAGAGCGTGGTGGGAGATATTTATATCTTTCAGCCTGCTAATAGAGCAGCAGCTTCTGTTAAATTTTTAGTACTGATGTAGATACTATATGCAAAATGAATCTTGGACTTTCATATCCCTTAAAAAGGATTCATAAGCATTGTCTCTAGGATCGAGGTTTAATGGTGTTCACAAAGTTAAATCAGCATGCCTGGCTTCTCAAGCAGAAAGAAAATGCATGCCATTCCTTTTTAAACTTGAGGGCATGAAAGGACACTGATAAATGCAAAAGCAAACAAATAATAGTAAAAGGAACAGTGAAACACACCCAACCAGTGTAAGTCCCCAGGTTGACAAGGTATAGAACAACTTTCCTGCATGCCAAATGCCCAAAACCTTCTCCAATTTGCTGACACTACCTAATGCTTTCAGCAGAGCTGCATGTAATCTCACCACAATAAGTAACACACCATAATATTGACAATTGATTAGAATTTAGAAGAATGGGGGAACAAAAGCAAGATAACTAGCTACAAAATCGATGGAGGATGATGCTCTGTGCTCAAATATAAGGTTACCAAACGTGGAAAATGGAAGGTACATCTATATTTAAATGCTTGGAATTTATTATATGCACAGCTGCAGGCTGCCCATCTTCCAATATATAGTTTAATGCTGGAGTGAATTGTAATAAAGTTTAATCTTTATCAAAACAATGGAACTGAAATATATACTATCGATTATCAGGAAGCATTTACCCAGTCACCATGACATAAAAAAAGGTAACCATACCAAGGAAAATAATTATCAATTTAGGTAGTAAAGCCACATGAACTAAGTAGCAAACTTACTCTTCTGCAGTTCTTCTGGTGTCAAAGTCTGCGATACCAAGATAACAAACAAACATGAAAATCCGGCAGAAGTAAATTGGAAAGAAGCAGATCCATTAGCTACAAACCTGAGCTTTAGGGTTGGACAAAATGCATTTAGCCATAAAGTTGGCAACCCCATCCACAACATGTTCCTCACTAACAACAATGTAATTCTCATCATCAATTCCACTCCACTCTTCAACATGGCTTGGAGCCATTTCATCAGTTACCCATACCCACCAACTCGGCTCTTTTTGGTCAACATTAATCAAAATATCAGCTGAACGCATATCATCCCCTAATTCAAAAACAAATAAAAAAATTAACTACTCAATCAATATCCACATTCCTAACATAAAAAGGGGAAAAAATGACCGAACATTATTGTCACAGCTGATGGGGTAATAATTTATCAGTTAAAAATGATTGGACAAGTAGCATTACTCACACAAAAAGTAATCAATTACGCGATTAAATTCAATGCAAAGATTTAGCATATAAGAACCTGTAGCTTCCTTGAATGGAAACTCGATTTTAGTATTGGATTCGTTAAGTGATTTGAGTCGGGTCAAAAAGTCTTTAGAATCCACGGTAGATACCAACCGAGCATAAAGCTGCAATTAATTAAACAATTAGATTCCAGAAATTAGGGGAAAAAGAAAATCAAACAAATAAAAAAGTAATGAAATTTACGTACGTCAGGAGGACAATCGTTTAATACAGCAGGAGATTCCGAGAGATTGTTGAGGAGTCTGAGGTTCTGTTCCAAATGATTCCTAAGGCGTCGATTTTCGGATTTTAGGGTTTCCAATTCTTTTTCGAGCTTGGAATTGTCATTGTTTTCGGGGGAATCATCGTCGTGGTTGTGACGGTGGTGGAGGCTGTGGCAACATTCCATGGCGTTCCATGCGACGTCGGCGACTTCGAGGACCGTCTTGGCAACCTCCACAGCTTCACGGCCGCCCATTGCTTTTCGAAGGAAAAATGATTTTTTGACAACTAGAGAGTTGGTGGCTGTCGCTTCACGTTCGCGTGTCCGAACGTGGTGTGTCCGTGATCCGGTTTTGTTACTTTTTATTCTGGTCTACCGGTTTTGTCAACTTTGTTTTGAGCATTTTGTCTCTTTGTGAGATTGCGTGGAAATTTGGTAAATTTGTACAATAATATATTAAAAAAATAAAAAATAAAAAATTATATAATTTAAACTTTTATTAAAATTTATTAATAAATTTAATAAAATAAAAAATATATTTAATGCCAACTCTTCGTGATATAATAATTTTTATATTTTATTTATATTTAATATAAATAAATATGACTTGAATTCACTAATTATCTCATCTATAAAATACTCTCAATTATTATATTTGTTTCATATAATTCATTAAAAAATTAAAATTAAAATTTTTTTTTATGAAAAACTTTTATTAGTTATTTTATGCTTTACATCAATTTGTTTACTTTATTTATTCTTAATATTTTTAAATAAAAGTACAAATAATTATTTTCATGGATATTTTATATTTTTAGCATAGATTTTATTTGTTTACTCATAAAAAATTAAGCAAATAAATAAATTTTAATCTTAATTTTTTATTAAACAAGAAATATTAAGATCAATTATAATTATTTTATAATTAAACACAAAAAAGAGGCCACAACTGATTCAAATATCCTACACCCGCCTACACCGTATCACTTCCTTGTCCCCTCCCTTTTTTTTTCCTCTTCCCCGTGTGTTAAGGTTTTAGGCTTATAGCATATTCTCTTTCTCTCTCTAAACCAGTAACAGTGAAACCTCCTCCCGACGAATGGCAGAGGAGCCGCATGATAGCGCTGCGCCCGATACCGTCGCCAAGGAAGCAGCGGAAGCGACGGCGTCTGCGGAAGATATCGAGTCACAAATTACCACCGCCATGCGCTCTCGTGTTGGCCACTTTAAGGAACAAGCCGAGTACACACACTCTCTCTTGCTGGCTGTTTATTTCTTACACTCCGTAACTAGGCTTTCAGTTTCGAATTAATGAGTTTGTGAAATTCTCATTACAGAGTCAAATTCTAGGGATTTGTTGTTGATTTAGGCCTGTATTTTAAAGGTTTTATTCGAAATATTTCAAAGAATGTGAATGTTGGGTGTCATATTGGTATCTCTAATTTAGTTTTAAGCGTGATTTATGTAATTTTGTTTAATTTGGTTCTTTGTTTTTGGTTTGTTGGTAAGTTCGTTGACATTCGAGGGAGTTCGGAGATTGTTAGAGAAAGACTTGGGGCTAGAGACGTTTGCATTGGACGTTCACAAGAGATTCGTCAAGCAATGCCTGTTAAAGGTACCTTTTTTTTGTTTTTCAATATTGCAATTCCTTCTCTGCTACCTTTTAGTTTTTTGGATAAGAATTTTTTTTTTAATTTAGGTTTCATGTAAATTTTGTGTCTTTTTTTTGTGGCTACTTGCATTTTCACTTCTAAGAGGGAAAGGGGTGTTTTAGATACTAAAGCTAATATTATTTTTGGAAGATTAAGAATAAAAAATTTATATTTTATATTGGAAAATGCATGATTTTACTCTCTGTGGAGAACAGTTATGTCAATTTCCAATACATTTTAGTCCTTTACTCATTTTATAATTAAGTATGCTTTATTTATTTTTGCTTTTTGCTACTGGATGCACTAGGAACTGTGCAGTTGATAGAAAATGCATGATTTTGCTTTTATATGGAAAAAAAATATGTTAGAATTGATTTTACATTTTGGTCATGTTTATTTTCAATCGATCACAATGTTGCTTTATAACAATTTTTGGAAAACAAGATATAACTAGCAAAAATCAAGTAGTAAAAACAATCACATGTAGCCTTAGATTTTTTCTTTTTTTCCCTGGATGATAAGCATGTATTGGAAATTCTAGTCTATGACTGTATGTGGCATGTTATTCTTATAGTTTATCTTCATTTAGTACAAAAATAGCTTATTTATGTATAATACAAAAACTGAAATTTAACAGCCTTTTGTGTCTGATCAATTCTTAATTGTTGATAGAATACACTGCAGTTTTAATCCCTTGTTTTGTGAAATAATCATATCTTCCTATGTTGCTTGGATTCTTCGTTTTCATTGAAGTACTTGTATCAGACACATATCTAACGGACATGAGCATGGAGATCCGACCCTCCAAATATATGGAAATACTTAGAAAAAATTAAGCATACCCGTGTCAGATGCATACCTGTTCCAACACTCACTCCCAAGTACAAGTAACATAGATATCTTCCGTTTTAAAGTTTTGCTGGGCTTACAGGACCAGGTTTGTTAGAGCTATAGTTTACTTGAGTATGATGAAAATCACAAATCTTGTTACTGCTGGAACATTTGGATATTGATAATGTTATTTTAGAAGGAATGGGTGTGTTGGAATGTGAACGCTTACAGGAAAGGTTTATTCCATTTTCTCATTTCACTTTTATTTGATTAGTACATTTAATTGATTCTTTATTTACAGTGTTTAGATGGTAGCAATGATGATGATGGCTCCAAGAGTTCTGGTGAAACTGTGGAGAAAAATGTAAGTACAACCACTGAAGGAACAGAATCACGCAAAGGACGACAACCAAAGAAAGATGAAAAGGATGCTGGCTCTGAAAATGAAGAGAAATCGGAAGACTCTCCTGTTTTGGGCCTTCTGTCTGGACATAAAACTACGAAAACTGACAACACCGAAACTGAGAATATAGAAAATAAAGAAGTTTCTGAGAGTATAATAAAGAAAGCTATCAGAAAAAGAGTTTCATATGTTGAAGCTAATTCAGAGTAAGTTGCTAAATTGTTTGATTGATTGCTTCTAGTCAAAATAAAATTGCTTGTCCATGATGTTCATCGTATTGTTTTGTATGCTTTCCTTTTCCAGTACCTATGGTATACTGAGGTGTAATATCGAATCATTGGCTCTTTGATGTTTCAGCAAAGTCACAATGGCTGGACTTCGTCGACTTTTGGAAGAAGATCTTGAAATTGATAAATATACACTTGATCCATACAAGAAGTTTATAACTGAACAATTAGATGAGGTGGGTATAATTCGGTCATGAGAAGTCAATTCAGCTTCCTAAACTATCATGTGCATCATAGCTCTCTTTATGCTTTTCTCTGTTAATTATCAGGTATTAAAGTCTCGTGAAGTTTCTGCACCTGCAAGTGAGGTTAAGAAAAGGAATCCCAAGAAAAGTTCTCAGAGCAAAGCTTCTAAAAAGGCCAGCAAGAAAGTGAGTTCGGCTTCATCAGGAAGCAAGAGTGATGAAGAGGAGGAACACAAAGATGAAGACGAAGAAGATGTAGGAGAAGAAGAGGAAGAAGAGGTAGTGAAACCCAAAAAGAAGATTGCCCCAAAAGGGAAGATTAAGGACTCTGAAGGGCTTAAAAAACGGAAAATACCTAAAAAAGAGGCAGAGATGCCTAGCAAGAAGAGAAGCAAGCACACAGAATCAATGTCAGATGATAATAGCGATGAAGAAGACAGTGGGAGTATCTCTGATGATGGTCGCTCTCAATCATCCACTGCAAAGGCAGTGAAGGTCTTACTTCTTGTTGTTCATTTTCTGTCCAAAATCTATGTTTGATAAATTAAGCCTTTTTTAATCATATTATTGACATGCAGAGAAAAGAAACTTTTGCTTCAGTATATGGGAAACATGTGGAACACCTAAAGTCAGTTATCAAGTCATGTGGGATGAGGTTTCACTTGGACTGTGACCCCTTTATGAGTCTTGATCTCTGTCAAGGTTGACCATTACAGTATTCTTATTACTTTTTTTATTTACAGTGTTCCTCCCTCAATCTACAAGAGAGTCAAACAGGTATCTGAGAATAAACGGGAAGCCCAACTAATAAAGGAACTAGAAGAGATTCTTTCTAAGGAAGGATTGTCTGCAAATCCTTCAGAAAAAGGTCAGGATTGTTGCCCCAGTGCACAATTGTTGATGGTTACTATTCATTTATGGAGTTGACCTTGTTTTGGGAAAGATCTTTGATACTGAAAAAAAGTGGGATAAAGTTTTATTGTGTCATTAATAAGTTCTTTAATGCTTAGATAAAATTTTGGGAAAGGGGGCAAAACATTTTAACAAATTTTGTCCTCTCATGGATGCCTTCACCATCCATGAGTGAGGATGATGATAAAACTGTCCATTAATAGAGACTGATACCTATATAAAAATAAGTTAAAACATGTCTGTTTCTGTTCATACTATCTTTCATGGGGAACTTACTAAGTTTTGCAATTTGTTTCTTTGGGTTGAAAGTTTCCATGTCTATACTCAGAGGCTTGATGATATTTGCTTCAGATGTAATTGAAAATTTTAATGATGGGCACCCATCATCTTTGGTAGTTGATTGCTCTTTTTGCTTCAGATGTAATTGAAAATTTTAATGATGGACACCCATCATCTCCGGTGGTTGATTGCTGTTTTAGTATTAGGTAGGCAAATCTATAAAATTCAGACTGTGGAGACTTCCAGGCACACCGAACACCAAGCTGCATGCATTATAATCCACAACTTGTGGGTTTGATCACCATCATCATCATTGTATTCTTCTATTTAATCATTTCTTCAGTTTTATTAATCTATTGGAGTGTTTTAAACTCTCAGAAATCAAGGAAGTGAGGAAGAGAAAAGAAAGAGCAAAAGAACTTGAAGGGATTGACACGAGTAATATTGTGTCAAATTCACGTAGAAGATCTACAACCAGTTTTATAGCTCCACCAAAGCCCAAAATACCAGATGTGAGTGATGATGATGAAAGTGAAGAAAGTGATGAGGATGACGATGATGATGATGAAGAAGATGAAGATAATGATAATGAAGATGCTGATGGTGATGGCAACAGCCAAAGTGAAGAATCAGATGAAGGTGAGTACGAGGATTTGTTTGTTTGCTTTGTTATTAAGTTTTATTGACTATCGTATGAGCTATCAAACATGGGGACTGTATGAGAATATAGATCTTGTGATTATTGTGCATGCGCTCTGTGATCTTATTAAATTCTGTCTCCATAGAAAGGAGTATATCAATAGTTCAGACGTGTTTTAATTTAAATAAATTTATCACTCTTAGCCAACTTTTGGATTATTGTTCCTTCCTTATGGTACATTTATTTTTGGTACATATGAGGAAGCCTAAGTGGGGATAGGAGATTTGGACCTTAGTTTATGTTATATGATTTCACAACTGGGACAGGGAAGCGTTTATGACACCTTTCAGAAGTGGGGCAACTCAATACCATACAAACACACCTAATAGCAAGAACCAATTTTTAAGTAAATTGAGGTATTAATGTCAGATAGGTGATCATAGAAAAGCCATGGGATTGAAAATGGAACCATTTAGTAATGTAGTAGCATTTCTGAGTTCTGACTCATATCCAAGTATCTGAAAGTGAAACTAGAATGTGCTGTCAACATCATTTCTTTAATAACTTTTAGTGAGATACTAGGTTGCCTGTTCTAACTTCTGAGCTATTGTGTCAGTTCTCTTATATGATCTGTGCATATGTTTGCAGAAGACGATGATGGCAGTGATTGAATCCTGCATGATATAAACTTGCAAGGCGATAGCTGGCTCATTGACTGTTAGATTATGATGCTGTGTTATGTATCTCAAATTTATTTTCTTATTAATATTTCCTAGTTTATACTTGGTATGGAAGTTGATAGTCCTTCATAGAGAAAATTTTGCTTTTATCTTCATTGATTAGGATGTTTTGTATTGTTGACTAATGCAGGGACTTTAGGTTATTTTTAGGCTATGGAGTTTTCTATGTTATAATGTAACATTGCATTTGGTTTCCAATGTGAAAAAGGCATGGTGCTGTTTATCCCCTCATTCAGGCCATCACCTTTAGAACACACTGTTAAATGGACATAGGTTGGTTTTCTTTTATTTCTTGTCTTCCATAATACACTTGATCTCTGGTTTATTTCCAGGCTTGTTAACAAGAGAGGTCAAAGCATACGACACATGCTGTTGATCTTTTTCGTATAGATGATAGGATAGGGGATGGACTTGGTGGGACTTGAACTCTCATCTTACAGGTCTTTCTAAGCTTTTTTTAACCACTAAATCAAGAAACTGAAAATTCATTTGTTTATCTCTAAATCATGACAAAAGAGAAAATTGAAATTGAAATTTTATAACAGAATAACCGGTAAGAATGAATTCAAGGCCTTCGTAAAAAACCTTTAGCGGTTGAACCCGAAGTAAAGCTTAATGAATTCAAGGCCTTCGTAAAAAACCTTAAGCTGTTGAACCTGAAGCAAAGCTTAATTTAATAGGTCTATGCAGTTTAACAAGTTTAAGATTTAAATATCAGTATTTGTACTTATTTTTTTTAATGTCAGTTACAGCCTCTTTTGTACCGAAAATAAACCTTACCAAGTTGAATGAGAGCTCTTTCAAAATTGGAACTTGGTTTAAGCAGTAAACTACCATATCAACGGCGGTAAATGAATTCATGGCTTTAGCTGTTTGATGCATTGCCCATAATACATTCTTCAAATACATACATAAATAATATATATATTTACCGATAGTTTCAACTTTTCAGATTCAGAATAGAAATCAGTTTTTCTTTTTCGATAATTATAAAATTTCATCAAGTACAGAAATTGAATATGTAGCGACACCTTTTCCAAAAGCATGATCGCGCATCTGCTATGCATCTTGATGAGGTCATATAGGATTTCCTGTTTCTATCTCAATGATTGTTTTTCTTTCCTCGTAATGAAAAGAGATTATTTAATGTTGGATGCTCTAGTTGTTTTTGGTCTGTCATTGCAAATAAATAATAAAGTAGAGACAAGTTGCTTCAAAGTGATGGAAAATGTCAACAAGTTGAACACGACAATAACAGAACATTTCTTCAAGGGATATCATTAAATTTAGTGTATCAATGAGTGCAAAGCTTCACAATGTTGACGTGCAATTTGCTATTCAACACTGTTACAAGCACATGAAATTGTTATTTTTTTCTCATTTTAAATGTAACGACAAGTTCCCGCAATTAGGGATGACTCATCCCTAGGGGATTTTAAGCATGAGCGAGAAGCAGATAATCAGTGGGATGCCGCAGGATTTGGTTATAGATAACTTCATAAGCTTCAAAGACAAATTCCCCCATCATCATGGGACACCAATGAAATGTCGAGATAGCTTTCAATAATGAAAAGCCTTTGATTTGTTCATCATGAGCAATCAGGTTTAATAGGGAAATATCCAAATGAAAGAAACGACAAGAATATGGAAACATCCTCATCATGACACCATTTGCCTGTGGAGAATTGGGATGACTGTATCCCACACTATATGAAATCTAAGTTTCTGCATCCCAATCCGGGCAAACATGTAGGAACAGATGACTCCATGTAGCGGTGCTGATGCCCACATCTATAATGCTGCCCTGATTTTCTCATTTTAATATATTTTCCCTTCCCCCCATTTTTGCATCATGATGTAGTTAGCTCCCCTTCTGAAAGAATTCGCCTAGCCTCATTTGCAAGATCCATTACATGTTTATCTTTACATCCTGAACTCATAAAAAAAATAGTAAATATAATATTGATTGGAAATCTTTTAGGCAAAGTAGTGAAAAAAATAATTGGAGTAACTGGTATAGAACAAATTTAGGGGCTATTGAAAAGAACCTCACCAATTTGAAGAAGAGCCTTTTCTAGTCGGAAAAGATATTCTCTGTTTGGTCCTGAAGGGCCCTCAGCATGAACAATTTGTCTGCACATAAAGGGGAAAAAGGAGGAAATAATGAATCAGAACTGGGTATTGCTGCTAGAATTTACACCTATACATCTAGAGATTCACAGTACGATGTGGAGAAACAAAGATGATAGACCACTGCAAAAATCTGGTTTTAGGGCCTTTTTTTTTTTTTTTTCTGTAGTTGATCTGTAGGGAAGGAATTTTCTCTTTAGAAGAAGATTTAGCCACAAATTTCAACAATGATTTTAGGACTTGACAGTATAGAAAACCTCCATTTCTAGTTAATAGAGCAAATATAAATAGTTTTAAATTATTTGACACTTCATAAAACAACCTAACAATGAGCCTATAGTGTATTATATCTCAGCTTTTTATATGTGTTCACATGCCCTAAAACAGCTTCCAGAGTTCAGCTAAGCCCTTTCTATTGAAAGAGGGATATGTCCGACGGTTGAAGTACTGAGATCAACACATCAGTAAATACCAAATAAGGACTCAACAGTATGATGTGAAACCATAACAGAGTCAAATCAGAGATTTTAGTAAGCAGAACTTCTGGTATAGGAATTTTATCCTTCCTCGAGAGGTCATCAAGAAAGTGATCCAGCTCTGTAATGCTTTCTTTTGGAAAGGTAAAGTGGCAAAGGCTCACGGCACATGAGTAAATTGGCAGTTCATTTGCCACAAATTCAGAAGGTGGACTTGGGGTTAAGGATTTAAAATTCTGGAATCAGGACTGCATTTTTAGGAATTTATGGGCTCTACTCTCTGAGCCCGGTTCATTATGGATTGCTTGGGTGAAAACATATGCGATAAAGAGGCAACAATATCTGGCATGTTTCTCCTTCACAGTATAGCAGTTGGAAGTGGAAGAAGCTACTGAGGCTACGAAGTGTTGCTCTAATTTTCATTCAGAATAAGAATGGGAAGATGGTATGGTTGAATTCTGCTAATAAATCCGGCACTTCTAGTACCTGGAACACAATGAGATATAAGCAAGAGAAAGAAGATTGGCATAGATCATTGGTTTGAATACCATATCCCTAGACACTCATTTCATGGATGACCATTCTTGATGAACCGCCTACTTAACAAAGACGTTGTAGGGGGTCATCCATGCTAGTCCTAACTGCTTGTTTTGTAATCAGGAAGTTGAATCGCTTATTCTTCACTTGTGCATTCACAAAACAAATTTGGTTACAAGTGTTGAAACCCTGTGGGATTCAATGGCAAGCGGACATGTGACATCATGAACTTTTTTGGGCCAAAACTAACTTGAAAGGTAAATCCCTTTTGGCTATTATCCTTAAACTTGCTTGGACTACTTTGATCTATGGTGTTTGGGTGGAAAAGAACAAAAAGGCATTTGGAAAGCAGAGTAGCAGTAGCGCTAATATTTTGCAGTCTGTCAAGGATGCTATTTTGGTGCAGGCTCCACAACATTCAACATTTTGTGGATAATTCTATTCATAGGTTTCTTTGTCAAAATGGGAATCACGATGAGAAAATGTTTAATTAATTTGTTTTTTGATCCTTTCCTTTGTTGGTTTGCTAGTTTAAACTTTGATTCTTTATAGCAGAAGTTTCTGCTCTTTTTGGATGAATAAAGTCTCATTCATTTATAAAAAAAATGCCATAACAGAGATAGAAGAAACACACTCAAACTAAAATGCATAGATAGAAGTAACATACTTGGCAATCTCTTCAACAGTAGCAGGCCCCAAATAGTTTTCATTAAGCTTCTTGTCTGCGGATCCTATGTACCTGAAAATTTTTGTGTCAATATAGATCTGGATATCTTCAATAATAATGTAAGAAAAAAATATCATTGAGAAAACAGCACATACACCATTACTCCGGAAACAGCTGGAGTTGTAGCAGTGGGATCCTGAAACAAATTTTGGTAGAAACACATGAATAACAAAGCTACATTATACTGGTGTTTCTTAACTTAACAATATCAAAATTCAAAACTCACAGTGAAAAAATCCAGATAAACTTTCTTGTCATACTGCTTCTCCCTCACTTCTAAATACTGCAGATCATTAAGAAATAAAAGGAAGAAAGAAATAATGATAACAGATTGATGAAATATTTTAGGCTACTAAGTAAATCACAGGCAAGTAAACACAAACAAAATGAAGAATTAAATAAAAGAAAAAGAAATAATTAAGCGCATCTTAGCAGCCAACAAGTAATAACAAAAACCAGCAAACAGAGAGTAAGAATATTTATGAACAATTTAGTCATTTAGTCAAGGCTATTCAGAAATGGAAATATATTAAGCCATAATTATTTTCAAACTCAACCTTTTGTTAATATTCCACCATCCAACACTTAATGCCTATTCTGTGGCCAAAAAAAAAAAAAACACTGAGCTCCTATACTATTTAACAACCTATTCAGACAATGCAATACTATGGTAATTTTGCAGTCAGAGGTCACAAAAGGTTGAGATCATTTCCCTTCTGAATCAATTCAGTAAGCCAGTGACCCAAAGTCCGCCAGCTAATCATACAAAACCGATAGTATCAATCCATAGTATTGATAGGCACAGCAATAAGATGTCTTTGTAAGATGCAACTCCAAAAGTTGCATGAGCATATATAGAAACATTTTGATTAGTGATTAGCCAGCAAAAGGAAAAGAAAAGATTGAAGGGCCACTAATGGAGAAAAACAATAAATTATATGAATACAATTTAAGAAATTCACTATCAGGACCATACCGTTAGAGCAGTTTCTTTATCTTCTTTCTTGGATATCTTGTAAGCAGCTCCCCACTATGACCTCACGAGATTGAAGAACATTTTAGTTCACATAGTGGCTCATTTGAGAACTTTGCATGTATAACAAAACAAAATAAAAGTTGAAGTCTGCATATCCATGCTAAAGAACTCACATACAAAACATCATGTAAATAGTTCTCACTGAAATGCACAAAAAAGCTAAACAATTTTGCAGTGCATTAACAGGGTTTCTTTGGCAAATGAAAATCTGAGGAGAGATAGCAACCCATCATACATTAATCCCGTGAAATATAAATGAATTGCTCCAATTAACCTCATGACAAAGCTTTGAATAAACAAAGAAAATGAGGGTAATGGGCAAAAAAGAACTTACACAGACTTCGCCCTGAGCAGGCTCCAATGTGACAGTCCTCCCAGGATACTCAGGCGTCCCTCTGTGGTCAGTACTCCCTGTTTTAACCAAAACACACCCCACCAACCATTCCCTGAGCTATTCAATAAAACAAGAAACTTTTGCAAAAAGTACATACAAAAATAAAATAAAGAGCGCAAAGGAAGGACCTTGGTAGAAGACACGGCGATAGTCTTTGATGAAGCCAACAAGACGATCATCATAGTTAAACCCAGCTTTCCAAATAAGAGAGCCGTACCCAAATACCCACATCGCCATTTTCTTCCTTTTTTTTCTTTATTATTGTCTCTTTCGAGGGCTCCCACCAAAAAGGTCTTTGCCACGACAAGATAGCCGGAAAGAAAGAGAAAGTAAAAAGTAGAAGCAGCATACTAAAGCATCCAATGGGAGACAAAGGGAAAAAGAGCACTGCCAAACTGGCAAGCGTTTGCTGGCATGAATGGTCCAGATTCATTTGGAGTGAAAAATAGGTAAAAAAAGCCAATTTTTTGGATCCCACTCTTTGAGCCTACACAATTGATTGCGTCGCAACAAGTTTACTAAGAACTCCAGTTGGCCCATTCAAGGAGTTGGGCTGCTTTCTCATGAGCAGTATATAAAATTCAAAAGAAACAAAAAAGAGTGAGCAGTTGGATCCCAACCTGCCCTGGCTGAGCCCACATGAATAATTGTCATGCCCGATGCCCAATCCCGATTGCCCAATCAATGATGACGTCTTTAGCCCAAACTAGTTATTTCAATCTAAAAGGTTATCTAACATAGAAAAATGGAACTAGGGAAGGCAAAAATATCTTAAATTGACGGTTTCGATTCGATCTAATTTTTTAGGGTTGATTTTTTTTTTAAAAATTGGATATTGAGTCGGATAGGGTCAGGTGGCATAAAAAAAATTCGGGTTCGGGTCAGGGTCGGATTTTAGGCAAATCCGAGCCTACCCGACTCGATATATATAAAAAATTATTTTTTTAATTATTTATATATTTTATATATATTTAATTTTATATTTATATTTAAAATAATATTTTATTAATTTCGGATCGGATCGGATCGAATTTGATTTTATACGATGTCGGATTCGAGTATTAAAAATAAAAAAAATATCGGGTCGGATTCGGGGCGAGCAAAAACTTGCCCCGACTCGACTCGTTGCCATCACTAAATGAAACTCATTAGATATATATTTAATAATTTTAAAATTTAAATTTCAGTACTTAAAATTTATTCAATCATATTTAAGATATGAGATTTAATAATTTTAAAATTTAAATTTCAGCACTTAAAATTTTTTTTTTGGCACTTGTTACAACCAACTAAAGAAATTTGAACAACATGTGTTTAGGTTCCATTTTTATTTAGACATTCTGTAATCAAAAGCATAAAATTATGAACGGCGAAGAGTAGGCATAGAGGTTACTGACAAATATATTCTATTGTTGCTAAGATTTTTTTAATGTTGAAAATTGATTTAGAAACATATCTAAACCTAATTCATGGTTGTTTCCTAGACAAGCTAAAACGGACAACTAACATCAGCCACCACCTCTTTGAGGTCAAGTTCTTGCCACGATTTCTAATCGGGAAAAAAAAGAGAAATAACATCTTAAGGTGGGTGCTTGCTCTAGGTTCTGATACCTATATCTTTCTATCAATATCAGATATCGAACTGAAAATATTGCATTACCTATTATGATGAATCATGTGTCAAGATCAAACGTAAGAATACGTCACACAATCTATGCAGGATGGATTCATTTTTGGCCAATAACAATTCTTTCTTCTTTGTCACTCATGTTTGATCTTTAATTTGTTCCTTTGTCCATGTGTTGTTGTTAACTGTCCTTTTCTAACCATTTTTGTTACAGACTCGGAGTTTAGCTCAGTTTGACATTTTTTATGTTTTGAGGATCAAATTTCAGCATCTGTAATTACTTTTATTCCCAGATTACATCCTCTTCGTATAAGAAAAAATGTGGTTTAAGTAATTCCTTTAGCCATTTATACTCTTCACGTGGCCAAGTTACAAGAAGAATTCGATTCTTCCCTAAGCCATTTCAATCAAGCTATAGATGAGTAGCTATCGGGATGTGCATAAAAATATTCCAATGAACTTGAGCAGATGATGACCCTGGAATATTTGAGATACCAGTATAATTTCCGGAACAAGGTTAACTGTTTGATTCCTATTCTGATATTTGCAATACATCTTTTTGTTCTCGCATCAGATGAGTTTGAACCAAAGAAAAAGTATGGAAATGAAATATTTGGACAAGAACATAGACAAACCGCCACAATTCATGGTTTTTACTTCACCAAATTTAAAGCCTCATGGTACAATAAAAAGATGGTAAGCTACAAATTACTTTAGATGCAGAGCAGCTTCGAGAGAGAGGGGAAGGGGTGGTTACATGGTAAGTTTTATCGGTTAAGGAAGAACAATGCTGCTAGAAATTTTTTCAACATTTGACAGAAAATGTTTTTTGTTCCTTAAGTGCTGAAGGGGCTCTTTGAAGCTGGAATATTAACAATTTTAGCAGGTCCATCAATGCCATCATCAACACAGATTGATCTAGCATTGTTTTTGATTGGCAATTCCTGCAGGGCATTGCTTTTCTCATCAGTTTCTGAGTTTTTCCCATCTTTGCCTTTACCCCACACCACAGTGTAAAGGCCTGTGACTATGATAATGGAGCCAAGTATGCTGAAATCAACCAAAGAATAGGGAAAAAAAGAAGAAGCAAATGAGCAATCAGAACAAGGAAAACCAACGCATAACCCACACCACAGTGCATTCTGTCACTATCTGCAAAAGCAATCATCTCTAATAATTGATAATGCACCATATATTCATGTCTTAGTAAACTTTGTTATCAACCCGGGATTAATATAATATGCTTTTGGTGTCAATATTTATTAAAAATGAAAGTTCAACTTGTTGCATGAAAATTTGAGATGCTGCATCATACCTTCCAAGGTGGATTTTTTCTGCTAAAACAATGGCCCCAAGCGAAGCAGTGATGATCATGCATAGAGGGCTGAAAGATGTTAAAAATACTGGCCCCCGTTCCCTGATCACGATTCCTTGGACATAATATGCGATTCCGGAGCACACTATTCCCTAATCAATGGCAAATTATATTAAAGTGTAAGCACTTCTGTTTCATGTGTCTGCTAATTTTGTTTTACTAGGACTTTTCAAGTGCATCATGGCAGGCAAAAAAAGCCTTGTAAAGCAATAAATAAAAAGTCGGTATCTCTTTTTTTGGGTACAGAGGAGATCGTCTGAAGACAGGGAGAAGGGGTTACAGTTGTTAAAATTTGAATCTCAGATTTATTGATGCCACCTCATAGGGTGACTGCATGAACCAACTTAGCTAAACTCTTAATTCAATTGGTATCTCTTTTTTGTTTCTGTATTCGTTGTATTTGGTTTTATTGGGGCACTTACAGAATAAGATGCAGCAAGAAGCCTTGAGTCCCAGCCAACTTTCCAGGCACTTAGGTCACGAACCATGATAAGTGACACTCCTGCACCTTCCACCATTCCCATGAAACATATCAAAGCTGTAAGAGAGAGTTCAGCCGGGTACTTCTTCAATGTGAAGGACTGAACCGGAAATGATAACCAATATCAGCTCAAATATAAGTAGTTTAAACAACTTTTTTTTTTTTTTCATTCAACAGACTAGATTTGGACTCACTTGCAAAATAAAGAAACTTGACCAGCTACAGATACTTCCAAGAAGCAATATGGTTCCGGTAACCCAGTGTTTATCAGCAGATTCACTGGTAGTTCCATGGTGAGTAGCTCCTCCTGACTTGATGAAGTCAATAATGGGACCTCTGTACAATGTCATGACCATTGCTCCTACGACTGTTATTGCTGTTCCAATGATCTTTGCTAGACTTCGTATCTTCTTCACATTGACCTTCTCTAACCTATTGACATAATTATAGCATATTAACCATGATAAATTCCTTTAATCTCATTGATGATATTAAAAAATTTGAAAAAAAAATCCCTTAATGAAAAAAGAATGAAGGTGATGGAAGTTTTTAAGCAATTTGATGTGGTGGGCGCTGGCATATTTTCAATCAGGGGTCCCAGAGGCTTGAGACTTCGACAGGGTGTAGGATCTTACTGGCACATCTTTTTCAGTAGTGTGTTTTTGCACTACAAAATTAATAAATAATGAATTGGTTTGAATCTTTTCACCTGAAAATCATTGCCAATATGAAGGTAACAGCTGGAAGCATGTTGACAAAAGCAGATCCATATGTTGCTGTCGTGTACTTCATTCCCAGATAGTATAAGTTCTGGTCAAGCACTGGCCTGTACATAAAATCAGCAACGTTAATTAGACCCTTCACAATCTTGTTTAGCATTTGGCATTCCATTTTCTTCATTGTATTTATAAATATATCAAAAACAGGAAACATGCATGGACTCGGGGATATATGCCAAAAGATGAACACTTGATTCTGTCATTTAAATTGCTACTATCATCATTTTAGATCGAAATGTTAAACTTTTTTGGATGGAAGATTCAGTAGTTTCTTGCGCAAGACAGAAAGCCTTGCAAGTTGCAACCATGGTGAGAAAGAAGAGAATGGATTGATTAATGTGAAAAAAGAAAGAGAGAATCCAACTCTTGCAGCCACAAATTGGAAGATCAAAGAAGCAAGGCAAGCTCTTCCGAATCTCCTAGGGGGCTACAGTTGTTTCCTTAAAGAAACAATGCACAGTGGATATAATATGGAGATGCATTTATTTGCCTAAAGATGCAAAAAGAAGAGAGTTTAAAGCATTACTCCAGGAAACCAAGAGCTACAATCCTTAGGAAGATAGGGAGGGTCATCTTTGGCCTTATTTTCCTGCATAAAATAATGGAAGGCAGCAATAAGATTAGGGGTTCAAGGAATAAGAATGTGATTGTGAGAGAGAGAGAAGCAACGAAACCTTTCAAGAACAAAGGCAAAGGGTGCAATGACAATGGTAGCAACAACATGACGGTAGGTTGCAAGGATGAAATTACTCATGCCATGCTTTAAAGAAACCATTGAGATTATGTACATCCCTGCATATCCAAACTGCAGGGAGATTATCGCCACGTATGGTTTCATTTTGTTCAACACATTACACAAAGCTCCCATGTTTCTCTATCTCTCACTGATCTCTTTCTCTCGACTATTTGCTCTACGGCTGCCAAGTTCGAAATGAAAATGGCCTTCTTATAGGCAAGAAAATGCTATATGACAAAAGATAAAATAAAGCGAGTGCATTATTTTTCCAATAAATGTAAGAGCTGTATAAATGTCCAAGGCACTAACTCTCAATCTAATTTTTGATTCCCTTATCCACTAAAAATCACCCCTATTGCCAAAGTAACTAGAATCCTCTCACTTTGCTGATAGAATCAGAGTAAAACAAAATAAAAAAAAATATATAGAAGAAAGAAGTGTGTTTTTGTGGATCTCTGTGAATATAGTGCTTTGCCTTTATTTTTTTTTCTTTGATTTCTTTTTTTTGTGGGAAGTGGGGATTTGATTCATTGACCACCAAATGATGTTTGGGTTAAGTGCGGATGATGCGTGCAAAAATTATATGGCTTTTGTATTAAAGAGCGTTGGGTGCTATGAAGCGTGGCCACCATTTCTGAAATCATGGTTTGCTTAAATACTCTTTCTGATTTATTCACGGCATTCATTGTCATTTACTCTCCCGCATATTTTGACCTTTAAATTTCTATATATATGGCAATTTTTATATGAGATAAATTTTGGTTGACCTTCCCTCAAAACGCAAAGTAAAAGCAAGTTAGCTAGTACAAATGACTTGACAAATCTGCGGTTTAATCCCGTTTATTTATGCAATCATTCTTAAAAAAAGTGATGTTTGTGTTCAAGGAACCTACAATAATTTTTCCTATTCCCAAATTTCGGTCTCTTTTATCTAAAAGATTGACGTTGACAAAGATTTTTTTTATGATCCAACAGACTTTATATTGCTTTAGTTTGCTTTGGGAGAAATTTTACTTGAGAATTTCTGAAACTGCAAGCTGAAATTCTTTCTAACATTGGAATTGCTTGCTGATTACTAATCACTTAGATTAGGCATCTCTGACTTTAATTCTATGCGTGAAGCTGAAACCACTCTGCTTCTTTATCTTCTCAATGATAATTTCGAATGTTTGCATTGGAAAACATTTATTCTTATTCCTTTGCTGCCTGCCTCTTCACTTTGTTTTTTGGCCAAGCCTGCCTCTTCATTTCACACTCAACAAATTCTTTTCTTTTATGTAGCAGAAATTTGGAGCAAACAGTTGTTGTTTCTTTCACAAATTGCCCAAAATTTTATTATGCTTTATCTGTCAATTCCATTGATAAACAAGAAAAAAAAATGGAAATTCTCCTTTACTCAATGTTAACCAAATGGGAAACCAAACTAATTGGATACTAACTAGATCATGATAATTAACCAATAATGATTAGTTCAATGGTTAATATACAATCAAGTCAAAGTGCATAGATAGATCATGATAATTAACCAACAATAATTAGTTCAATGGTTAGTATACAAGTGAATAGTTATTTTGATTCCGTGTGGGATCTAATCCTTCTATCACTAACTATCTTATGGACAATAATATTGTTAAAATTTGAGTGGGCATGAAATCATATTACAGCATTGAAATTTAATTCAATTTATTTATATAATTATTTGTAAAATATGATATTTAATAAATCTGAAATTAAAATTTTAGTACTTGCAACCACTTTTGATAATATTAAACTTTTTTTATAAATAAAGTTATATCTTAAAATTGATAAGATTTGTTGTATTATTAAGGGTAGTATAAATTTCTCAAAGAAAATAGTTAAAGATATATGATGATACAATATTAATACAATAATAATTTTTAATGGTACATGGGGAGACAATGCAAAGCCGGTGCTTTCGTGTTTGGATTCCAACATGGAAATCAGGAATAAGGTTGGTTGGTGGAATCCCACGTAACAAATGGGAGACATTCGAAAGATATGTCAAACAGGTGTCGAAGGGATGGCAAGAGATTGATTGCATACTGTACTTTATGGAGAGTTGTGGCTAATAATCATCTCAACAAGGGGGGGGGGGGGGGGAATGAATCTAGTAAACCACTAGGCCACAGTGGGGACTTTTGCCTAGTTATTTTGTAGGGCAGAAGTTTATTGTCATTTGCAATTTTAAACACCATAATATGAAAATAATAAAAAAAATAAAAATAACAAATTTAAAATTTTAATAAAAAATGTTTTGCATGAGTTTATTAACACATACTATTTGACATAAAATATATAAATTACCAGATTATGTACCTTATATCGTTAAACCAACTGTTAATATTCTCGAGCATAAAAAATTATGAAGGATTTGTTCTGTTTTTCTCTTCATGGCTTTAATTATTCGGATCCATCCAACCACAATCAAGAACAGAAAAGGTCTGAAATGCAATGGCATATTTTTGCTCCTGCATCAAATCAGGGTTGACACAACTTATCACCATGTTAAAATTTGTTTCAAAATATTATTCCACCGGCCAGAATGGCAGAACTGAATTTCCAACCGTCCTACACCTATATTTCAAGTAGAAGTTGGTGCTACTCAATCCAATACGACACAATCAGAAGATTGAAAAGAGTAGATTTATTTGAGCTTTCATAATCATAGCTGCTCTTGGACATGAACTTAGACAGTGCTTTCGATATTCTTCACGAAATATACTGCACAGCTAAACCTTGTCCGTCAAGTGCAATTCATGATGAAAAATAGGCCCTATAGTGACAATAAAAGCAGTTTCTTTGAGTTCTATCATGTGATTCAAATGTAAGTCGACGGATATATTCATATAGTAGGGTAGGTAAGGAGATAAAATGGTTCCATTTGCATATAAGTTGAATGAAGTTGAAGTTATAATGGCAATGCATCTTGTAGGTGTCTGGCTCATCTAGAGAATCATTTATCTTGTTAGATTGACAATAGTACATGCGGGAATAGGGTTCATAAGAAAAAAAAATGAATGGAACTTAATTCCACATAGAAAAGTTTTGACATATACCAACCATGAGGATTTATCAAAATGTTGTCATGACAAAGAAAAATATGTTGATAATTTGGAAGGAAATTCCAATTTTATTACAAGTCATGTGAAATTCATGGATTGTGTATTAGAGTTATACTTGGAATATAAGTATTTACATCATTTTCAATTTACAAAATTATGAAATTCAATAAATATCTTACAAGTTGGTATAGATTCTGACACAACGCATCTATGAGAAGTTTGAATAAAAGGAGCTAACAATCCACCCTCACAAACACAATAAAAATACTTCTTGAATAATGGTAATATTGATATATTATAACCACAAAACCCCAGATCCTCAATTATTTATGGTGCACGTACAATCTCACTGCCCCACTCTGATATGGCAATGTTGTGGCAGTGGTAAACAAAGAGAAAAAAAATTGTCTTGGATATCAGTAAGTCTAGCGCAAAAGTTAATCGTCGGCATTTCTACATCTCTCTCTCTCTATATATAACAATAATGACATTAATTAATCAAGACAATGTATTTTGTGCTCACATGATCCATCCCTTGATGTTTGCACAAAGTTTTTCACTAACAAGTTGCAGAGAAGAGCATAATGGAAAGGCTTTATGGACAGAGATTTTAGTACTCTTGAAATAGGTGAGGCAAGTTCTCCTGCTACTTTTTTAAGGTCATGCTTTTAAGTCATGCTTTTAGGAACATCTTTTACTTTCCACCCTTCTGAGCACTGTTAAATGTGGCAATAACAAGCTTAGTGCCATCATCGATACAAAATTTTTTTTCAGAAATTGGTAGCTTTTGGATATAATCAACCTGTGAAGGGCCTTGCTTTTACCCCAAACCACAGTATAGAGGCAGATTGATCATATGAATACCAAAATGAAAGAAGAATAATACTTGAAGTTATACCCTTTTCCTTTTCTTTCTTTATATTGTTGTACTAGCTTAAAGCCTATTCGACAATGCTCAATTGATGGCTTTCCTATGGCTGCCTTTATAAATTCATTCATATAAAAAGAAAAAACCCAAAGCAAGGTGTACAATGAAAACTCTTAGAAATGTTTGTTTTCCTTATGCTCCATCCTTTGGTATATAGGACATGAAGTATGCTGAAAGCTAATTGCTGAGTTATCAAGCACCAAATTTTCTTTCTTTAAATAATGGATGATTATTTCAAGTACGTTTGGTAATTGGGGATCAGATATGCTAATGGAGCAGGCTTTGCCTCATTACTTCATCTTATTTCTTTAAGTCCAATGTGTTTGATTCAAGATTGATACTGTGCCACCGTATAGAATTAGGCTCATCGATAAAAAGTGATTGCTGAAGTTGCTTTTGAATGGGAACTAATGACTTCCATCATTTTTTTAAACTTTGATTTTTAAGTGTCCTGTATTCCATGGTGAATTTGCTCGCCGAGGATGGCAGAACTAAGAGCAGCAACGGTTATCTTGCAGAAAGGGTTGAAGGCAGTGACAATACAAGGCCTCTTGTTTTCATGGCAAGACAATCCAATTATATCTTTCATTAAAACCAGGTTAGATAACAAACTTAAAATTTAATTTAATTGATTTATACAATCATTTTAAAATATAATATTTAATTGATTTGAAATTCAAATATCAATATTTACATAATTTATTTCTATTCTTAGGCAACGACCTTCTTTATAAAAAAGAAAAAAAGAAGAAGAAAAAAACAAGTTGTTAGTGTCACGGGTCGAGATTTAAACTCTGAACCCGCGCAGCTCAGGATCCGTCCTAGATCAGCCTACCTGTCACGGTTCACACCCTTGTGAGGTATTGTTCACTCTAGCCCCCCTGGCCTAACGGTTTTATCCTACAAAAGGCGCATCACAAGGCGGAGGTGGTGTGAACCCTTTTATGCCCCAGGGATCCTCCTATGATGTTCGATGTGAGATTCAGGACTCTTCCTTAGGTCCGTGACATTCTCTCCCACTCAACCTCGTGACGCCCTCGTCACGGAGGCTGACCACCCTGCCTACCTCCCTCGAGGTGCTTGGCGTGGATCGAACAGTATAGGGCTGGCTCTGATACCACTTGTTACAGGTCGAGACTTAAGCTCCGAACCCGCGTAGCTCCGGGACCTGGGCATTCACCCTTCCGACGTCCCAGATCAGCCTACCTGTCACGGTTCACACCCTTGTGAG